CAACTTTAATGAAACCAGTATATGTTTATGTGTACAGGAGGCCTGCGACCTGTCATTTTTCTTCCTCCAAATGAAAATGACTAATGTGGATCCTTTATAACCACAGTACAGAAGGTCTAGAATTTCCTTGACCCCTTATCCAGCACACAGCTTTCCTTCAAGGTTACTGTTGCCAAATGATTTAGTGTGCTAGTTGCCATTGTGCAAGGTTGTTCCTCTTTTTCTCTCTGTATTTGTCTCTCATTCCTCGGTCCCTTTTAAATAACTTGTGGAGAACCTGTATCTTTAAGATGACGAAAAGGAGTAAAATGTAAAAGCTACAGTACACCACACTGTTATATGCAAAATGTCAACATGTGGTTTGCGGTGACTGCTATTTTAGTCTAGAATATATGTATCTATACTGTAAAAATTTGACTTGTGGTCTCATTACTGCGAAGCACAGGTTTTTTTTTAAATGACAACATGCGTTGATACAGACTTTGGGATACATAATTACTATCTCTACCACCCAAATCATCCAACCTTTCTCAGTACATGCACCTAAAAAAATGTCTGGAATTTAAGAGGACTCACTCTTTTTTGTAGACTTGAGCTAAAGTTATGCTCTTGGACTGTATTGGTTCATTTCTCATGGAAGAGAATAGCCTCTAGTTCTGGGTACCTCCCTTTTTGGTGCTCAACTTTAGCATTAACACACAACCAGCTGCCACAATGCTGAACACGATCCATCTAGTTTTACAGTGTTCATTGTCAGAATCATGTCATCTAATTCCATGGTTCACAGATGCGTCCAAACACAGTAACATTGTGCGATGTAGGCAAGCCAGTGGAGACCTAGGGCCTGAATTTCAGAGGTTCTGAGCAGCCACGGCTCTCACTGACTTCAGCTGGATGCCCAGGAACAGGTTCCTGGAAACCTTAATGAGAACAGTTGCAGCCAAGTGGAGAGGGAGGAAGCCAGATGGGAGGGGATCCAGCCAGACTGGAATGGTAGAACAGGAACTCGAGACAACTGTGGTAGATGGCACATTCACTTTGTTTGGAGATGAAGGTGTCAAGGTTCCTTCCCACTCTGAACTCTAGGGTACAGATGTGGGGACCTGCATGAAAGACCCTGAAACTTATTCTTACCAGCTTAGGTTAAAAACTTCCCCAAGGTACAAACTTTGCCTTGTCCTTGAACAGTATGCTGCCACCACCAAGCGTTTTAAACAAAGAACAGGGAAAGGGACCACTTGGAGACGTCTTCCCTCAAAATATCCCCCCAAGACCTACACCCCCTTTCCTGGGGAAGGCTTGATAAGAATCCTCACCAATTGGTGCAGGTGAACACAGACCCAAACCCTTGGATCTTAAGAACAATGAAAAATCAATCAGGTTCTTAAAAGAAGAATTTAATTAAAGAAAAGGTAAAAGAATCACCTCTGTAAAATCAGGATGGTAAATACCTTACAGGGTAATCAGATTCAAAACATAGAGAATCCCTCTGCACAAAACCTTAAGTTACAAAAAGATACAAAAACAGAAATATACATTCCCTCCAGCACAGCTTATTTTACCAGCCATTAAACAAAAGAAAATCTAATGCATTTTCTAGCTAGATTACTTACTAACCTAACAGGGGTTGGAAGGCTTGCATTTCTGATCTGTTCCCAGCAAAAGCATCACACAGACAGACAGAACCCTTTGTCTCCCCCGTTCCGCTCCAGATTTGAAAGTATCTTGTCTCCTCATTGGTCATTTTGGGCCAGGTGCCAGCGAGGTTATCCTCTTCTTAACCCTTTACAGGTGAAAGGGTTTTGCCTCTGGCCAGGAGGGATTTTATAGCACTGTATACAGAAAGGTGGTTACCATTCCCTTTATATTTACGACAGAAGGCTAGAGTGAGATGAGGTAGGCAGGTTGGGTCAAGGTACATTTTTTGAGTGGGGACCCAAGCTTGATTGTATTTGGAAGCAAAGGAGCCAGAGGACAGCCAGGAAATTCAAAATACAAGTGAATATTCCATCTTTCACTGAGACTAGTGGCCATTGTTGCCTCGTGTCTCCCCCAGAGCACACAAAAACAGAGAGTATCGGCCTTGAATGGTCTCTCTTTGTCTTTACCTTCACCTAAATAACTTAGTATGTTGTGCTAACTTAGAATTACATTCTTCTTCTTTTGTAAAAAGTGTGGTTAGTTACTGCTACTAAGGGAGGAAATATACTGCAGCTACGTTGCTTTTGGCTGTGGTGCTGCTCTAGCTTCACTCCATTTTACAAATGAGGTATTGTCTTCTAAACTTACATTTCTAATTAAAGCTAATACAGTCAAGCCCTAATGAATGCAACTTTGATCTATGTAGCACCTCTATGCACTCCCTCTGGCATGCAAACTGCAGTTATACAACAAGGCTCAACTGCTGCTTGAAAGCAAAGGATGTTGGGCCCAGTTTGCTTAGTGCTCTAGACTAAACAAAGTGCTTATTTCAGTGCCAGATTATGAGTTACTGAGATTTACTCACAAATGATTCCAGCTAAGAATGTGTGGCCCACTGCAATGATTAGTCCAGCCATTTTAAAACAAGCCTCATCTTTAACTGATGTTACCGCCCCTAGTGGGATGCCTGGCAATTGGGGATTTGCCGCTGGGTTCATTACCCAGGAAAAAGGGAACAGAGGTGGGAGAAGAGAAAAAGAAAGTTTTAGGGTAGATGAGTAATAAGAAAGAAGGGAGAGAGTGCTGATTAGGTTACAAGAGAGAAGAATAAGATGGTGGGAAGAGATGAGTGATCTGGGAAGACAAGGAAGGAAAGACAGAGATTGAAACAGCACAAAGCAGGGAAAGAAAGATTCAGGGAAATGGACAAAGAAAATGGAGAAAAAGAAGAATCAAGATATGCATTGGAAGGAAACAGCCTGTATTTCCATATATGCTTAGAATTGACTCATTAGCCTTAGGAAGACAGGGTCACCTGCTCTCACCACGGACTATTTAACCAGTTTTCAGGAAGCTTTAAACTATCATAGCTTCAGCTAATCAGGCACATTAAATCCATATTAGGGAGTTGTGAAATACACAGGACAGCAACAGATCAAAAAAGGCAGACAGTTTTTTAAAGAAATCACAAATACTTGCTCAAGAGACCCAAGAGCACAGAGGAGACAGGAGTGTCAGCAGTTAATAATGAAGTAAAAGAAAATACTGACAAAGTTTATGGGCTGATCCCTTTACTCACTAGGAGAGAGAGCAAATGGTCTACTAAAAGACATGAATAGATCTAACAACATTTTTCTTGACAGTATATGAGGAGGACAAGTGTCCTAAGAGACAGCTATATTTATTCTATAATGACATGGAAGGTGTTGCCAAGCAGCCCTTATTTGTTAGATTAATTTGTTAATTTTTTTATTCTGGTTTTCCATAATTTTACATCAATAGTGAAACATACCAACACAAAATTCAGTCCACAAATCACTATAGATGGGGAATAAAAATTCAATTTTAAGAAAAATCATTCAAACATTTACATGCCTAAAAACAAAGTTGCACTTTACAATAAAGGGTAATAATACAGATATAAAAGATCCAGTGAATTACAGGAAGAATAGAATTTAAAAGCAAGTCTTCAGTGGTATCCAAGTGATCCCTTTAACAGGAGTAGCCGATTCAGGCCTGATCTCCACTTAAAAATTAGATCGACCTAGCTATACCACTCAGGGCTATGAAAAATATCATGCCCCAAGAGCTGTAGTTAGGTTGCCCTAACCCCTGGCCTAGACATGGCTAGGTTGATGGAAGAATTCTTCCATCAAACTAGCTACTGCCTCTGAGAGGTGGATTAACTCCATCAATAGAAAAACCCCTTCCATCAAAGTAAGAAGCATCTACACTATGACACTACAGCAGTGCACCAGCAATGCCATCACTGTGTGGCTGTAGCATAGACATGCCTAAAATTGTGCCTGAATGTCTGCTGAGTCACCCTCAGCTCATCTACTAGAATTCTGCATAAAAAAAATTGAAGACAATTACTTATGGTGGAGTCATGTTGGATGTGGGCCTAATTTGTTCTAACACATTTGAAAAGTAAGTGGTGGCTTTCTGAGCCACAGGTCTTTGAAAGAAACCCTAGGGGAAGTTTCTTAGGCTGACATCAATGTTGTGTTATTTTGAGATGTATCAATAAATCCAAACCCCAGGAAGGGACCCTGTCTACACAATAACTTAGAGTCTGTGTGTAGCATGAAACACAACTGCCTTAATGCTGAAACACATGAATTTGTGTTTGTAAAGTCAAAGGTTTCCTTTTATGGTTTTGTGCAGATTTTGCAAGAGCAGAAAAGTTGTATACTTTTTAAAATCATACTATTTAAGGCCTCCTTTATAGCTTCAGGCCCCAATCTAGCAAAGGCTTATGTATATGCCCAAATTTACATACTGCAAGTAGTCTGATTGAGACAACTTACAGATCACAAAATTACATACTGCAAGTAGTCTGAAGTGAGACAACTTACAGATCACAAAATTAAGCTTGCAGAATTTGAATATTAGGTTGTAACCTTGTGACTCTTTCCTTATCAATGGCAAGTCCCAAATCCCAAACACGTTAGTATTCTAAAATCCTTGAGAACAAAGTGGTACAAACTTCTGATTTGCCGTTTCCCCAAAACTAAAGAAAAATCATCATATGAGCTAAGAGGTTAAAATGAGTGAGTTTCCTTGCAGCACAACAAGAAAATATCCAAGATGACTTTGCTACGCAACATAAATTTTACATTAACATGAAAAGAAGGAACCACAAAAATCTTGCCAGAGGTTGGCCGAACAGTACATTTAATCTGCTCAGAGAATGGAGAAGAAGCTATAAAAGAGAAAGTGTGCTAAAAAGAACTAAGTTCTTCAGGAAATTAAATGCTGCCACAATTCCTGCTGGAGACGGAGACCGGACTTTGTGGTTAAGGCACTGGACTCAGAAACGCCCAGTGCGATTCCTGGCTCTGTCACAGCCTTCTCGTGTGACTTTGGACAAGGAACTTAATCTGTAGTTCTCCAGGCATAAGGAGGTAATATTACTTCTTTTCTCACATTCTCTGACTTACCTATTAGGCTCTGTTTCAGAGTAGCAGCCATGTTAGTCTGTATTCGCAAAAAGAAAAGGAGTACTTGGTAGTCTCTAAGGTGCCACAAGTACTCCTTTTCTTTTAGGCTCTGACACTGCAAAAAGTGACAGACATGTAATTTTACACATGCGAGTAGTCCCTTTGTGACCAAATGGTTGCATGGTCAGGGCTAGGGTTGCCAGGCATCTGGTTTTCGACCAGAATGCCTGGTCAAAAAGAGACCCTGGTGGTTCCAGTCAGCACCACTTACCGGGCCACTAAAAGTCCAGTTGGCGACACAGCGGGGCTAAGGCAGGCTCCCTGTGGCTCCCAGAGGTGGCCGGCATGGCCGGCTCTTAAGGGCAGGGGTGGCCACAGGGGCTCTGGACGCTGTCCCTACCCTGAGTGCCAGCTCCGCAACTCCCATTGGCTGAGAACAGTGGCCAATGAGAGCTGCAGAGATGGCACCTGTGGGTGCCGGCAGCACGCAGAGCCCCCTTCGCCTAGGAGCCAGACATGCCAGCTGCTTCCGGGAGCCATGTGGAGCCAGGACAGGCAGGGAGCCTGCCTTAGCCCTGCCGTGCCACCGACTGGGAGCTGCTTGAGTTAAAACGCTGCCTAACTTTAGCCCACACCCCAACCCCCTGTCCCAGGTCAGAACTGCCTCCCAGAGCCCACACTCCTCACCCCTCCCTTACCTCAAACCCCTACCCCAGCCTTGAGCTCCCTCCTGGAGCCTGCACGCCACATGCCCTCCCACATCCCATTGCCCTGCCCCAGCCCCAAGCCCCCTCTCGCACTCAAACTCCTTCCCAGAGCCCACACCCCCTCCTGCACACCAAACCCCTCATCCCCAGCTCCACCGCAGAGCCCAAACCTCCAGCCAGAGTCCCCCCCATACTCCAACCACCTGCCCCAGCCCCACTCATTTCTGGCCCACCCTGGAGCCCATACCCCTAGCTGGAGTCCTGACACCCTCTCGCACCCCAACTCCTTGCCCCAGCCAGGTGAAAGTGAGTGAGGGTGGGAGAGAGCAAGCGACTGAGGGAGGGAGGGGGATAGAGTGAGTGGGGGGCGGGGCAAAGGTGTTTGGTTTTGTGCGATTAGAAAGTTGGCAACCCTAGTCAGGGCTTTAGATTGTAAGTTACTTGGGGGCAGTACACGTACAGTGCTTAGGACAATGATAAATATAGGTTCTCACAGTCTATGGACCAGGACTGAATGTTCCTGAGGTTATAATGCAGTTAGGTTAGATGCTAAAGTCAATCTGTGACCAGGAGATATCCAGAAACTGTAATTTTTTTTTGCTTTCTTTGAAGTGATTTGGGACCTGTGGAGAATTAATAGCAGAGAATGGGGTTTCTTGCCATCCTTTGCTTGGATGTTTAGAAATCCTGAGGATATAGAGAAAAGTTAGGACTCTGAGCTCCAGTTCTTCCCCTCTACAAGTAAGAAGTCCATGGTGATTTCTAATTAACTTCAGCTCCTTCGCTGGAGTGGGAAGTGTTTCTTTCATGGTGCACATGTGCATGTGAGCAACATATGGATGGGGAAGGAAAGTATGAAAGTATGAAAGGAAGGAAAGCTCTCTTTTTTCCCAAATCCCTGTCTTGCCAACTTTTCCCTAAACAGAGAGGAGGTTATTTTTATTTCCTATTTACAACAGCAAGCAGACTAGTTAGATGGCATATGGCTACAGCATAGCTGAAGTTTAGGAAAACAGACCTTAGTGTTTCCCATTAGAAGGAGAAAGTCCAGAGTGTAGCAGGCTTTTTCCTTTCTTTCTCTCACTACAGGACAATGATCAGTACTTGGAATGAGTGAAAACCAGCTCTTACTTAATAGTAAATACCAGTTGTTTCCTCTTCCCAGCCTGACACAGGCACTGTCAGCTACTTCCTAACAACTGACCTTCCATAAGGTCCAACGGTGCCTGATCTAAGGATTAATAATCAATCAGCAGAAATAAGACAGAGGTGTCAGGACTTCGTTCATGGGTATTTTGTTGAACAGCAGACCCAGTATGACCCTATTCCAATAAGGCAGGCAGTTTTGGCATAATGCAACAGTAAAAATCCCAGGAGCTAAAGTGGGTCAAATTCTGCCCTTGGGTGATTGCACAGGTATAAGCAAGGAGAAAAATTGTTCCCCTGAATCTGGAAGCACTTGACATGTTGGTACTTACACATTGTTGTTTCTCTGTTTTGTACCATTTTCCTTTGCTCTCACTTTGAGTCATCGGTTTACAACATGTCTGGCAGCCAGCAAAAGGTGCTCTTCAGCATAAAAACATTAAGTTTAGTGGGAAATTAAAGTATTGCTCAAGTGGCCTCATCCTGAAAATGAGACAACAGGAGCCACAGAGTGTTCCTCAAACCATTGTGCAGTTAGCCACATGCTGGCGCCGTAGGCAGTGATTTGTGGACCGGGTTTCTGTCCTACTTAGTTAAAATGAGTTATCCTGAAACCAACCTCATTCTTCAGTGAAAAGAGTAGAGTAATAAACCTCAACCTTTGCTTGAATTTTTGGCTTGGAAGAGTGTGTACTTGTTTGGATGGGAGGAAATACGTGGGTCCCAATCCTACAGAGATCCTGCAGACTTTTTCACTTTGAAGCTAATGAAACACGTGTCCCAGTTTAGTCTCATGCTTAAGTCTTTGCAGAATCAGGGGTAGGGAATAGGGGTGTATAAGAGCAACAGAGACATCAGGAGGATTCAGAATATGAGAGAATTATGAGCTAACTAGAGATTATTCAAACTTTAATAGGCTCAATTCTATTTCAAACTAGGCAAATGCACATCCCACATTTTGACACTTGCACAGCTGTGTCAAAATCAAATCAGTCCCTGTACCATAAAAATCTTTTTTGGTGATCAGATTTTTTTTTATTCTGATCAGATTCTGTGTGATCAGGACATTCTTATTGATGAAGGGAAGAGGAAGGTCTTTCTCTGTTGCTGTTAGTCTGTCATAGATCCAGAAGCTGTTTTCCTTGTGTAGAGTAATGCTGAACAATGATGTAAAAACAAATGCTGTTAATGCCAGTGACTACTTTCTACCAAAAATAATTCTCCTTTTTTGGAAGGGTGGGAGCGCTACTTCTTTTTTGTCAGTTAGCATTGTTTCTTTCCACCTTCTACCTTTTTTGGGGGGGGGGAGGCAGGGAAGAAGGGGTTTATAGCCACCGTTGCTGGCTCCACATAGTAAGCAAGCATATTAGGCACAGTGGCACTGAAAACAGTGAAACTTTCAGTGAAACTGAAAACAACATGCACCCACTTGGTTGGCTTTATTTGTAAAGATTGCTCATTACAAGTTGTTTTTGTGGGTCTTTGTACTGTAGGACTTTCAGGAGATAGAGGGGACTTTTCTGGCTGCTGAAGCCAATCTGCTCAGTCCAGAGGGGAAAAAACTATAGTTAAAATAATAAAATTATATATCTCACAATTGTTAGCTACTCCTGAGTGTATTTAGTGTAATGAGATCAGAGCAGTCAAGCTGATGAAAGGTTTCTCAGTTGTGAATGAGGGCAGCAAAAAGCTATGTGCCTATTGATTTATTGTAAAATGAAAATCAAAGTAGCCTCTGATGAATGAGACCATTTTTTATGCTTTAAAACTGTAAAATACTCCATATGGGTGTTCACGTGTAAAAAACAAGAAGATGAAGACTTCATGGTACCTTGGAAACCATTGGTCACAACTTAGTTTATACCTAAAAGAAGTTAACGTAAACTTGATTGCACAACATCCTAAAGTTTAACAGCAAGTATCTGTTTATTCTTAAGATGGCTAATGAAAGAACCCCTATTCCATGTGGAACTTCCATGAATGTAAAACTGAAAGCCAAGGTCTAGATGAGCTCTCCCCTGCCATCTTTTGATGAACTGGGGAAAGACCTCAAGAGCAGACCATATTTGCAGAGACACACATACTTTGTGCAGGTGATCAGCAGACAAACCTGCTTTGCCAACCTGCTTTGGCTGTTTTGAGTTAAAATTCACTTTATTCTTGAATTCAGGGGCAAGGAAATGTTATTTTGGAGGCAAAAGAACTGTACTTAGCAGGCCCTAATTAAGGGAGGTCACCCTAACTTGCACCTCACTTGCTAAGCAGGGGGTAGTGATGCCAACTTCAACTGAACTCAGAGGTAAAGATCTAGACTTTGGTTTAGAGGCTGTTTAAAGGGTTCTAGATACTATTTGATACTTCTATTTCAGTGTTTAAAGCTACAGCTGACCAGATTCAAATTAGTGTCCTTGTTTCTGCTAATCAGCGATTATAAGAGCTGAAATCACAGATGAGTATGTCTAGAGGGCTGGCCCTTACCTGCAGTGTGGTGATAGCAGTGCAGTAAAAAGCAATGCAGAGGATGTAGCAATGAGGTTACCTGCTTTCTGGTGAAATCACTAAGAATAGGGATGGGGTGGAACCTCACAATACATAATCACAGCTAGAAGCAGAAGTGGTAGCAAAGGGGTTAGCAGCATTCTTCAGTGCCTCTCCTCCCCTTCAGGAGTGGGAGCTGAACCCATGTGAATGCAACCCTGAATTCTGGGACTTTGCTGAATTCAGACAACCTGGGGTGCAGCAGAGGGAAAGGGGAGAGGTGTGTTCAAGGGATATTCATCCACGGGACTTTCACTCTGCAAAGTGTGAAACTGAGTCACAGGTCACTACCAAAGATACTGCGGGGCAAGAGTTTACTTATGGTTTGCATAGTTTTGAATTGCTGTTGCAGTGTTTTCCCAAATTAATACTGAGTTCCCCTCTCCCGTTTAATAAAATGTTTTTTGTTATACACAGACTCAGTGTTTGCCAGTGGGGAATCATTGCCTCTGAGAGGTGCTTGGGTGGTGTTTAGTTTTCATGGACTTCTGGGTGGGGTCTCAATCTGGTTCCCTTTTGTAATATTAAGAGGATCCCAGATATTGAACCTAGCCCTTGTTGCTGCTGACACAG